GCACATTGTAGATACTATCAATCACTAATATTCTTTGCCTGGACAACCAAGTGGTTGCTCTTCTGCAACTCCATGGACTTTTGGGGGACACTACAACAGGCTGTCTGAATTGAGGCCAACTTCTGACATGGAAACTGCCTTGGTCACACTGAAAGATGACCTCTATCCTTCTGGGAAAGGGATAAAAGAAGTGCACCCCTAGCAGTTCTCCCAAACCTATTGGTATTTTTGGTTGTGCTTTGCTTTGTTTTGATGCAGTCAACCATTGTGCCCTTTTGCATGGTGAGGAATGGTGATGGTGGCTATTTCCTCAATTTTCCTAATTGTAGTAACAGCTTGGATTTTTTAAAAAATTAGAAATGACTCCTTATTTTTTGAGATGTTCTTGTGACTTTCCTTTTTCCTTTTTTCCTTTTTAGAATTAATGAGAGAGTGGCACAAGATTAAGGTTTATGCGCAGCTGTACCTATTCCTTCAGATGTCTGACTTGGCCATGGTGACACAAGGCTCAGTGACATCCTGGTTGTGTTATTGTATCCCACTCTGTGCTTTTGAGGAATGTCTGGAAATTTCAGGTGTTCCAAAGAGCTGCAGCCAGATTGTGCTGGTTATGACATTTAAAACCCTATAAGACTCAGGTCCATGCTATCTGATGGACTGTATTCTCCCTTAAGGGAGCCCTGGTGGTGTAGTGGTTAAATGTTGGCACTGTAGCCACAAGGTTGTGAGTTCGATCCCAGGAGCTCCAAGATTGACTCAGCTTTCCATCCTTCCATAGGTTGGGTAAAATGAGTACTCAGATTGTTGGGGGCAATTGGCTTACATGTTTTAAACCGCTTAGAGAATTCTGAGTTCAGTGATAAACGGCATAGAAATTTACATGCTATTGATATTTCATATGAGCCTGCCTGTGTTTTGGGATCCTCTGTGGATGCCTTTCTCTGTGCCCCACCACTCTTACAGATACATCTGGTGGGAACATAGGAGAGGGTCTTCTCCCAGACTCTAGAACTCCCTTCCAAGAAAGATTAGTCTGGCACCCTCCCTGCTTTCGTTCTACAGATCGGTTAAGACTTAAAAAAAAGTTTCAGCTGGCCTTTGAAAACTGACTGTCCAAGGGGATTGGGATTTGCAGAATTTGGTGTACTATCTGTGTTTTCTTTATTTGTCATTTTTAATACTTAATCTTTTTTAAAAACTGGTTTTCATTTTTTTGTAAGTTTAATCATATTTGTAACATTTGTATTTGATATTTGATGGCTGTAAGATGTCTTGAGTCCTAAACTTGGGGAAAAGTGGGATAATGATAATAATATCAGCAGCATTACATTTGAAAAGTAACTTTAGTTACACCCCCTTTACTGAAAAACAGAACAGAAAAACTAACTTTAAAAGTAATTGCATTACCTCATTGGTTACAGATGCTTTCCCATGTCCCATGCAAACCAACAGAGAGTGGACCATTTGGCAAGAGGCCACTGGCCAAGTCAATCCTAGTAGATACATATTCTCAAGTAATGAGGTAGAAGAGCCTATTACCTTTTCCTTCCCTTTCTACAACATTTGTTAATATGGATGTGCCATAATCTGAATACTTCTTGAATTCTTAGTGTACAGATCCCTGTGACTGTCACATTTAAATATGCACATTTTTATTGTAACTGTTCTGGCCATACTTCTGGGAGCTACGGTCAACTTCCCCAGAACACATTCCCAAGAATAACATTTTAAGCACCTGTTTGGTAGTATTCATAAATATACAAATAACCTATACACAAGAGGATTCCTTTAAAAGGCTGTTAATCTTTGTTTTCTTGGCCTCCAGTTACATCATGTAGCTATAAACCTGTTGATAAATACATTAGATATGCATAGAAAATGCAATACCTTAATAGTGACATCTTTCAAAATCAACAGTTTGCCAGGCACATGTTAGCAGCAATAATGAATTTCAAATAATAGTAAATTCTTTGCTTTGTAATAAAACATGTATAAGAGTTTTGTCTGTTTATTCTTAGAAATACTGTAGAAGGAAAAATAAATGGTGCCATGGGTTTCTATAAAAACCACTAGAACCTCCCTGCATATTTTATAAAAAAAAATTATAGTTATTTTATAGCAGTTATTTGCTGGATAAAGTGCATGTAATGCACTTTTAAGCTCTTTGATTTCAATAAGAGTGAATGAAGCACAAGCGTAAATCCAGCACAGCATTTCATTTTGGTCAAAGTAAATTTCACACACATTAACTCAGTCAGAAATAGTGCACATTAAATTGAGGCACTGCCCTGGCTCAGTGCTAGGGAATCATGGGAACTGTAATTTATTGTGGCACCAGAACTCTCTGACAGAGAAGGCTCAATGTCCCAGAAAAAAAAATACAATTCCCATGACTCCCTAGCACTGAGCCAGGGCAGTGCCTCAATTTAATGTGCACTATTTCTGGCAGTCTGCAAAGGCCCTTTGCCTAACAATAGGGGTGGGGGATTTTTGTTCCTCCTGATATTATGGACTGCAACTACCACAGTCGACAATATTATTAGCCCAACTCACATATGGTCCACAGTTGGGACCTCTCCATTTCCCTTGGCCCATATACATTGACAACAGTGGCTTTGCTTTCTCTTCCAAATATCTCAGTGGAGAGTAACCTTGAGAATTCAACAGACTAA